AAATAATCGGAAAAGACGCCTGCTCGCATCCATCTGGTATTTCATTTCTCACAGTCCGAGTGTAAAAGACAAAATTGCAGAGGAATCGGTCGAAAATATTCGGTGTAACCAGGTAACAAATGCAGGTCAATTTTAAACTTAGGGACTGCAGGCGAAGATGAAAAATTTAAAAGACACGCATTACTTGATCTATAAATCGGGCTTAGTTCCCTTAATTTGGTCCCTGTTTCCAGCGCAAATTCAATCCAGGAATTTTGCTGAATGCGAAGAAGATTAGAGGCATTCCCAACCCAATAAACACGCCGAATGCCGATTACATCATATATGGTGACTTCGGACACCAAAATCTCTTCCCACTTAATACGTATGTTTGCACGTTCGTCAGCTCAGTTCAACAAACGGCATATTGAATTCAGTGTAGTGCAGAAATGGTTTCAACAATCGGCTCAGCAAATACGAGATAGTTTATCTGCGGGGGATAACAGTTAAAAATCCATCCACTTTGGCGGTAGTTTGACAAAGCGATTGATGGAATAAGGTAGACCGCAGGGATGGAGCGCTTCAGGGGGCATTTTGTTGTACCGTTCCCTTCGAAAGCAGACCGACCTACTGGTTCTTTGATCTTTTCTGCAGCCTTGTCACGACTGTACTCGTTGCGAAGACGTTTCCTGCATGACCCAGAATTCTTCGAGGCATATGCAGACGTCGTGTCACGGAATCTCGAGAAAGGCTATGCAGTACCGGTTCCCTCTGAGCTGGTAACACTACAATCAGCAACAAGATGGTACCTGCCTCACCATGCAGTATTGAATCCCAGAAAGCCTGGAAAAATGCGGGTCGTATTTGACTGTGCAGCTAAGCACCACGGAAGATAGCCGAACTATATGATTCTCCAAGGACCGGATACAACAGCTGACTTGGTAGGAGTTCTTTTGAAGTTTCGAAGAGACCGGGTTGCTGTGTCGGCAGATGTCGAGGAAATGTTCACACAAGTTTATGTACCGCAGCCAGATCATGTGGGTCTGAGATTTCTGTGGGTCCCCCAGAAGGATCTTCATAGTGAGCCCATTGAATACCAAATGGCCTCTCATGTCTTCGGTGCCGTCTCTTCTCCGTTCTGTGCCAATTTTGCTCTGAGACAAACAGTGTCTGTTTTCGGCGGGGGATTACGACGACCGAATCAATTCGTCTGTGATAAACAACTTCTAAGTAGACGATTGCTTGGTGTCAGTACCTTCCGTTACTGACGCAAAGAGTTTTGTGCGAGGAATAATGGGTATACTGTACAAAGGGGGTTTCACCTTCATAAGTGGGTAGGCAATTTCCCCGATGCACTGCAAGGGCTCCCATCGTCTGAACGAATGGAAGCTGTAGTGGAGATGTTTCCAAAGACAATGAATACACAGCGGGCGCTTGGCATCGAATGGGATTCATCCTCTGACATCTTTTGCTTCCAGTTTCACTTGCCCGGGAAACCACTAACGCAAAGAGGATTCCTAGCAGCCGTTCCCTCGCACTTCGATCCGCTAGGATTGGTATCCCCTGTATACTTAACCGCGGAACAGCTGCTACAGGAACTTTGTAAGGCTGGTTTGGGTTAACTCTCCTGTCAGTGAAGACCATTCAATTCGATGGCATTCTTGGTTGAACTTGGTCAAGTCGATAGGAGTTGGGCAGTACCCGAGGTGCTTGCACCCAGACGACTTCGTGGGTGTCTGTAACCCTGAGCTCCATGTATTCTCAGACGCGTCGGAAACAGGTTATGGCATCGCTGCATATGCACGTGTTGTGTCAAACCATGGTCGAGTGGCATGGCGTTTGATTTTCGGAAAATCCAGAGTTGCTCTGTTAAAGACCGTCACCGTTCCGAGGTTAGAAATTGTTGCCGCCGCATTAGCCCTCAGGGTCTATGAGCCACTTATTGCAAGTTTACCCAACTTCTCCTCCGTGGTCACTCTCTGGACGGACTCACAGATAGTACTTTATTACATCAATTAATCAGACCGCGAGGTTTTGTACCTTTGTAGTCAATAGGCCAGGCATTATTCAAGAATACTCCTCACCGAGCGAATGGAAGCACGTGGAATCATTACAGAACCCTGCCGACCTAGCGTCCAGGGGTATTAAAGGAGTGGAAGATTTGAGTCGCTGGACATATGGACCAGAGTTTATCAACGAACCGAGGATTCTTGTGTCACCTTTGACACCTGATCGGATACCCGATGGCGTGGAGCGAGCCGAGTAACTATTAACGTTATTTCTACTCGAAGTGTTTCCGGGCGTCTGTTTGCCCGATGGTCTAGCGGGTTTGTGTTGTTGAAATCAGTTGCATGGTTGAGGCGCTTCATCCACTATATCATGCACAAATTAGGAAGGTCTGTCGCCATGCCGTTTGTAAGTCAACTACAAGTGAAAGAATTGACAGATGGTCGGGTGGTCGTTATCCGTCGGGTTCAAGCAGAAGTATACAGTGATGAATTAACTCGTTTAAAAGCGGACACTCAGTCGGAGCCGACTAGGGTCTCATCACTGCGTAAGCTGTGTCTCATCCTTCTGGACGGTGTTCTCTGCGTTGGTGGACGGCTCCAGTATTTCAGTTATGCATTATCCCTGAAGCACCCGCCTATCTTACCCAATAAACACCCGGTCACTGATCTACTCATTCGACAATATCATGAGGCAGAACAGCATTCTAGCGCCTCTCATGTCCTTGGCGTTATTAGGCAAAACGTTTGAATAGTTCATAGGAGTCAGGCGGTGAAGCGCGTCCACCATAAGTTTATTCAACACAGAAGATGGCTCCGTTACCCCCCGGTGCGATCTGAAAAGGGTAAAGAATGTCTCGAGGCTGTGGGTGTTGATTACTTTGGACCATTTCTGGCGAAGCGTGATCGCAGCATGGAAAAGAGATACGGCTGCATCTTTTCATGCATGGCTACCCGAGAGATTCACCTCGAAGTGGCGCATTCTTTGACTACCGATTCCTTTGCTTTGGCGTTAATGGGGTTCGCTGGTCGAAGAGGGAGACCTTTGGATATTTACAGCGATAACGGATCCAACTTTGTTGGTGCCGTTAAGGAACTCAGGGAGCACGTATCGCTTTGGGACCAAGCGAAAATCAACAACCGACTATTCGCTCGAGGTATTCAGTGGCATTTTAACCCCCCGCTTGCTAGCCATCGAGGAGGAGTGTGGGAGCGATTGATACGATCAGTAGGACAAATCACTTTTGTGCTCATCCAAGAGCAAACTCTATCTGATGATTGTCTGTCAACTATTTTTGTTGAGGTGGAACGTATTCTACACGATCTGGTCTTTGACATCATTGAGTGCAGATGGCCGTAAAGCGTTGGCTCTGACTCCTAATCACCTCTTGCTACACGAAGCGAACGCAGGTATCCCATCGCATTGCGATTTGAAATAGCTGCTCACGCGACGTTGGAGACAAGTGAATTATTTGGCGAAATTTTTCTGGAACAGGTGGATGAAAGAATACATCCCAACGCTTCAGTTACACCATAAGTGGTTAAGTCGGAACAGAAACCTCAGGTAGGAAGACGTCGTCATTGTAGTGTCTGAACATCTCTCTAGAGAAAGGTCGCCGCTAGGTATTATCACCGAATGTCTAACGGATGCAGACGGCCTCGTCAGAACGGTTTCCCTCCGCACTATCTCCGGTGTCATCAAGCGCGATGTTAGGAGCCCATGTTTGCTGGAAGGGGAGGACTAACGAGGGGGTATGCAGGTTTAGGGATGCTTCCCGATAAACGTATTAGCACAGCCGGGTTTTAGTTCAGCGTGATATCGTGATCAGGCGCGTGTACAGTTGAAACCAGCCTTTGTGGCAGGAGGGGGCTCGGACCACTCAGGTCGGTGGCTAAAGTTGCATGCTTGTAGGCTAGAGCTCTCCTGATAACTTACCTGTTCCCTTACTGACGNGGAGTGGACTCGGACCACTCAGGTCGGTGGCTAAAGTTGCATGCTTGTAGGCTAGAGCTCTCCTGATAACTTACCTGTTCCCTTGCTGATGGTCGGAGGAATTTTGGCCGGCGGTGTTGCAACTTCAAATATATTTAAAATTTCCTCCAATGTTGAATGACTGCCTTCCCGGTTAACAGTTCAAATGGATCGCCTTTTTTGGACTGGTGTAATTGAACCCTATTTCAGTTTTACAAGACATCTATATTCTCCGTTTTCCTTACCGCGCAAATGGTTTTTACCGATCTGGTTATACCATTTTGTACCAAATACTTTGGCAGCTATATATTGGTTTATTCATGAGTTTGAGACGCGGCTTCGGTCACGCGTTGACTGTTGATCCATATTGGCTTTGCTTGCCTTTTGGAGTACCTCACCGTTTGTCGAAAAACGTTGAGGTTTGCAATTTTGTATTCCGTGTAACTATTTTCGTTTTTATAGTACAGCACATTTGCGTAGCCATTCGTTCGGAGTTTTGCCGGTTTGGTTGCTAACGTTGGTGCTCGTTGCTCAAGAATTCGAAACTGTCGTTACATTCCTGTTCCCTCACTTGGTGCAAAGTAATTCCGTGCAGTATTCCATGAAGCAGAGATTGACTGCATGAGTTATTGCACAATCTGCGAAGGCACATTTGGAAGTACAAAACTAGCTAATATTTGTCCGTGTATGTCATCCTAGGAAGTGACAATCGGGTCGTATCGAAATGCCGATGATAAAAATGTGTTGTTCCCATATTATGCGCCATAAAGATGCACTAATCAACGATATGTAAAAATTTAGTTTCCAACGAATTTCCAAGCATAGCTTTGTAGACTCAGTTTCGCTGCAATGCCACAACCAGATGTATCCGCGTACGCTTGGCAGTGGTGACACCATACGTATTCTGTCCGTCATTCGCTCATCATCAAACCGGCTACCAATCTCTAGACACCCAATTACACCTTACAATGTTATTCTGTACCAGAGCCAAATCCATTCCCAAAAGAAAATGGAAGTGAGTCGATATTAACCTAACATATCGTCGCCGTATAACACTCC